TGTTTTGGAGGAATTTCTATGAAACCTGAAGGTTACACACTAGAGCTTCTCCCTTCTACCACCAAGAGCTAGGTTAAAAATATCAAAGAATCTTTAATGAAGTTATGGATCTAAATGATCAGAAATGAAGATGAAAATCATTGAGTAAATCACTGATGGTGACAGTATTGTGACATGTGCAGATGAGGTTCTAATGTGGCTGTCAGGTGAGGAACAGGTGGTTTTCATCTTGAAAAATGTATGCTGAAAAGTAGACTTAAGATAGCGTGCAAAGTTAGTGACCTTGTCATAAAATATTCTGAAAGATCAAAATAACAGTAATGCCATTTGAATTCCATTAAATTCTGAACTGTTTCAGCCTTGGAATTTGTCTGACATGTTATGACAGTGCAGCAGGCAATTAACCAAGAGGTTAGGGACACTGCTGTGGGATTATGCACAATTGTGGTTAAGCCTGAGAAGTAATGTTGCAGTTAAATGGCAGCTTAGTTGCCTGTGAGAAGAAGACAGTTCCAAAGTTGTTCAGTGCCAAAACACTGATGTTCTACATTATTCAGTTGTCTTTTTAATTATAGAAGGACAACAATAAAATATATGATCTTTTTTTTTTTTTTAAGAAAAAAGCTATGGTATTTACCCCTGTATTCTTGTATTTGATTTAGCGTCGTTTTAAGGCAAGAGATGGTGGCATTTATTGTTTTTTTTAAACCTATTTCGCACTTACTCCTTTAAGCATGTTAATAAGCATTTTTGCAGATGAACCATTGATACTACTAGAAGAATACCTCTAATAACATATTAATCATTGAGAACATTGTCTGCAGTCCCAAACAAATTGACATACTATTGTAGTTGGCATCACATTAATTGATTTTATTTAAATAATATGTGTATTGAGTTTTGAAGAACTAGTGTTTTGTATAGAAGAGTAAATTTCAGGAAAATATTCAGAATTATATGAAGGAAACAAATTAAAAGTGCAAATATTTACATGAGTAATGGATTCTAGGCGTTACTCATTGAGATGAAGAATTGAAATAGCTCCAGTCTTGTTTCCAATTAAAAGTAACCACAGCCACTTGAATTTTGAATATTAAATACTTCCTGTGAATAACTTCTATAATCCATCAACCATTAATTATTTCATAAATCATTCTGAAAATAAATTAACCAAATCAAGCAATAAATTACATTTAGTATAATCAGAAAATGCTCCATGGGTGATTTGCAAAATAAAGCCTATATTGATTAGATAAATTATTGTTTATGAATTATTAGCCCAGATTTAATTTCTACCTCCTTTAAGGTTTAAGCTTGTCTGTATGGTGTTTTCCTCGATAGTTCCAAGTTTTGAAGCTGCCTTCTCTCAAGCTGTTTGTTGTTTACATGATTTTAAAGAAAAAAAATTTATATATGTATATATCTGAGATATATATATAGATATATATATAGATTCTACTGATGCAGCATTTTGAGACCTGTGTTCTGGAATTAGAGGTGGAATTCATTGACCTCTCCTGGAACCCCTGCAGAAAGAACCCATGCATCTTTCTGCAGCAATAGAAAGTGGAGATTCACTGGAGATAGGAACTATCATCTTTAAGTGTAGTGATCTATACTATGAAGAATTATATCATCTAGCCAGAGGTAACTCACACATAATACTGATGGGGGTTATCATATGCTACAAGCAGTGGCCTATGACAGCTGGACCCATCAAAGACTGTCAGGACCCATTAGAGAGAAATTGTTACGATGAGTGTGGTGCTAGATGTAGATGGTGTATTAGAAATGCTGAAAGCCGCAATTATCTACCTGCAACCACCAAAAAGCCACAGAAGCTCATCTCCCCTGTCTGACCTAACGTTTCCAGATGGACTGCTTTAATTTGCCTTCCCTAGCTCTTATATTGTATGTCAATTTAGCATTGTTAGTACATCTCAATAATACAGGTGTTAAATGAACCAAAGTCACTACAGTTAACCTGAGTGAGCCCAGGACTGTGCTGCGCTGTATTGCATATATACGTGGGCCTTCAGGTCTGTGTTGTGCGGCGCAAATTCCTTGGTCCCAAAATAAAGTCAGCCAGCTCCCGGGAACAGAGGAGCCTGCAGGCAGCTGCCGATGCCTACCAGCAAGGTAGCAAGGCCTTCTGTGTTGCCTTGCCCTTCTCGAACAGTGGAGCAAGAAGTTCTGATGTGAACAATCTTTCTGTTTGACAATAGAAATGATGAATAGAATTGTTTTCTTCTAAGAAAATCCCATAATAGCTCGAAGAACCAAAATGGGAGAATCTCTTCTATGGATGGGGTCTGCCCAGCATGGATCGGAGGTCTGTGTGAGGCAACACCACCCCCAATACCCAACATTTAAGAGGACGTAGGTTATCTATATTGTTCTCTCCTTATAGTGTTAGCTCTAATAAACAGCATTTTAAATTATATGTTGCAGAGTCTGAGAGCCCTTCTTGCTGGGATCATAACGGACTAGCATCTCCTGCTGCAATACACCAGATCCTCGCTATGTCAGCTTGGCCAAGGCACATCTGTCTAGCTCTGCATCTATGTGGGCATTGAGTGTTCGTATGTACATGTGCGTTTGTAGGCTACTCATTTCAACTTCAGCTATAACTTACCCTTATTCTAGAAAGGATCAACATTCCTTAGGTATGATTTATCATTTTATTTGATACATGGAGAATGTATCAAAAGATACATGTCTTGAAGACAGAACTTGTACAAATTTCTTCCTGTTTTTTTTTTTAATATCAGATAGTACTTCATCGAAAAATACTCTGTTAGTGTAGCAAAGTGGTAACAATAAGCAGACTATATGTAACATACGTTTCATTAAAGACTCCAAAACCTTTCTTCATCTCTTGTTAACCAGCTAGTCAGAAAAAAACCTACAGCCTAAAACAAGCGTAAATGAGAACTCACAGGAAGCTCATGTTTGTTTGTGGGTAGTTCCAGGTGCTAGTGACTCTTTTAATTCAAGCTTTTTAGACAGAAATAAGGCTTTGGAGCTCTGCAGGAAAGCTGACCTTACAGCACGCAACTGTAAAATAATTTGTTTCCCCCACGTCTCAGTATAAAACTTTTCTTGGCAGTGGGGTCTAAATAAAGGATTGTAGAATAAGTATCTCGTGCTATGCATGAGGGTGACAGATCAGGTTCTTACTGTTGGAAAATATGCCATACAATTTATTTTTACCCAGCAGCACAGCCTTCTTTCAGGTGCTGTTCAGGGAATAAAAAAGCAAAGTATCTACCTTTAGTATATTAAAGTCTATTCCAGCATATTTTCACTGCTACTGTATGTTGTTAAAATTAATCTCCAGTATGTAGTAAGAATGGTTTATGAAGAGCTTTTTCACAAATTACTTTCTCTCCCTGTTGATTTGCTATAGACAGTGTAACACAGAATATGCAAAAGAATATTTCACAAGGGTTTCTGAAGGTATAAGGAGAGATTTATCAACCATACAGCATTGCAATTGTAGTGTCTTACCTCAGTGGAATTGCCTGTCCACCAGCACTGTATTTCTCAGATCTCAGATCAAGAATGAGTAATTGAATCAAGCCCTGCATCTTTCTTCCAACAAAATGAAAGGGTCAGAATTTCAAAGACTGAACAGTTGCTCTGTGAAATTTTGAAGGTCCCTGCGCCAATTAAGTGCCTCATTCTCCAGATTTTGACAGGATTTTGATGCCTAAGCTTTTTGACAAATCCCACAAGGCACCTACATAATCTTTACTTAGATGTCTGAAACTCTTCATATATGCAAATAAAGAAACACCAGATCGCCCTGACAGTAGAATGTGTAATGACACAGAACTGGAGGAATTAATTTACAAAATTTTTGCTCACAGAAGAGGGGAACATTATCACAGAACTGCAAATAGAAAGAGGTCTCACTAAACACAGTTCTTGAAAACCAACACAGGGGATTGGCAGTGCTACAGCATTCAAAAGGCCTAGTAAAGATTGTTTGATCAAATAGCTATGCATCTTTTCTCCTGCAAACATGTGGAGCTGTTGAGGTTTTAAAAATACCCTCATGGTACACTTGAGTGAACAGGATACAGCCATATTTGTAGAATCTTCCTTTTTGAATGTACAGATGACTTAGTTATTTTCCTATGTGCACAGGGACATATTCACACTGCACAGCTTATAGGATGCCCAGAAAAACAATGTAGATATGAAATGTGGATTTGCAGAGAGCGATTTTGTTTGTTATGCTTTAATCACTTTGATTAACAGAAACATTATTTTGGTTCAGCATGATATTAATCTTAAGTAAGAATTGAGAAAATAAAAAATGTAAGAAAAAATCAATGCCTGAAGCATTCTCTAAATAAAAAAGTTTATGTAACACATAGTTGTCATTGGTCAGACCCTAAATACTGGTCAGAAATTTCAATCACTGTTGAAAAATGTAAAACAGAACCAGTTCTGCTAATTATGGACTTCCTTTCTTTTGTATCACTTAGTGATGCAGATAGGTGGCTAGTTTTTAGAGTAACTACATTCTAACTTCTTTTGAAGGAAATGAGTTACACATCCAGGAACTTTGGGAATATTTTCCCAAATATTCATTATTGGTTGATATACTTAGGTGTCTGAATGCTTTAGAGTATCTACCTAAAACAGTCCTGACTTTTTTCCCATCACTTTTCAGTTGTCATTAACATGACAAAGAAAAGTACCAAAGATGCATTTCACCAGTTTGGAAAGATGACGTATTTATCTTCCAAAACTCATGTGTCTTAATTTATCTGTACAGAAATATAGAACACAGAAGCCTACCTTTTGAAAAGCACCTATATTGACTGCATATACTTATACCACCAAGAAAATGAAAATAATCTATGTGATACTCCCTTAGGAGAAAAAAAGGCTTTCTAAACTTCAAGTAATCCACCCTGGACAAAAAGAGGGCATCTCAATTCTTTTGAAGAGAGGTCTAGTGAAAGTCATGGCCTTTCATCCCTCAGGTCTCTGACAAATGTCTGGGACATTGTTGAAAATGACCAGTTTCACTCAATTTGGTGGGATAAGCATGGAAAGTGTGTAGTGATTTATGAAGAACTGTTCAAGAAGGAAGTGCTCGAAAGGAGAGAACGTCTGAGAATTTCTGAAATTGAGTTCATGAAAAGTTTCACTTGTTACTTTCATCTCCATGGATTCACCAGAAAGCAATGGGATTTTCCAAGATCTGGCTTGCTCAATGACTCGCAAGAATAAGCAGCAGCCAGCAAGGTATGTCAGTTTCTACACACAAACTAACTCTCAGAATATTCTAGTGGGATAGATTCTAGTGAAATAAGCCTTTGCAATATGGGAGATGAACACGGTAGTAAATGTTCTGATTGTCATTTGTCTCCCAGCTTGTGTTCAGGAGTTTTTGAGGTAGTTTTTTTGAGTAGGAGAAATGCTGACAAATTATAGGTTGGTTATTTCCAATTACTTTCAACCCATGAAACAGAAAGACCACATCATGATTTATTTTGGCCTTTGCTACGTATCTTGCTACATATGTGCCATTTTCTTGTGGCATCTGCTGAATGCTGAAAAGGTATGTGTCAGTATCGTATGATTACCCACAAGTTCGTTCCACATTGAAGGTGCTAAAAATTAGTGGTGTTTGGTTTTTAAATCAGTTTGTATGCTTTTGAAAATCCCCCTTCATTGCTCCCAAGTAGTGAAATCGCAAGGCTGGTTACTTCCTAACAGAACTGCATCATAAAATTTTATTCAGCCTGAACTTCAGGTTGAGAATGCCCCGATAGCCCTTTTTTTCATATCACATTTGTCCATTGCAATTAAAATTCTTAGTTGTCATATCTTTCTGTTTTTCAAAAGTCTTTAGGTGGTGGCAACTAACTCTTTTCCTTTGCATTTTTCAGTTGCTCTTCTACTATAAGTCAAATTTTATGAGGGATTCTCCCCACCTGCTAATAAAGTGCAAAAGAAGCTCTGGGGTGAAAAAGAGAGCACTGGCAGCCTTTTCACTGGACCCGGATTTGAACAACCGCTGCCCTAGAAGAATCCCTGATGCCCAGCCTGCATGGGGAGCTGCTTCTGAGGAAGATCTGTTCGCAGCAGCTCCAGAGGAGAACACACAGACATCTGCACCCAGGAAGTTTCCACTTGCCAAACGACGTGCTAACATGACCACCCAAGTCAGAAGTGCCTTTACACCTTCACACATAGCTCATCCAACATTTTCAGACCCTGATGTAGCAATCAGCAGGGAGAAGTTAAATCCTCTGCCTCACTCCTCCCCCGCCGCCTCTTACAGTAGCACAGCAGCCATGGCCCAGCTGGCATCAAGGGTGCTACTCCTGCGGTATCTGCTATTTCACCTGGTCATGCTATACCCACCATGCCAAATAGTCCCTTTGCACCAGGGCTGGGATTTCCCACCTTTCCAGCCATGCACCCAGCTTCAGCAGCTATGCAGCCTACCTGGGCAAGCCTACCTGCCTTGGGTAACCCATGGCTTGCAATGCCTATGCTGGCAGCAGCCTCTGCTTTTTTCATGCCAAGGCAACCTCACAGCCAAACGCCAACATACCATCACTATCCTGCTTCCACCTGTGGTCCAAATAGCAGACCTACAGGTGACAGCCTTGGACCCCAAGTATGCTCCAATAGCTGTTTCAGAAGTTGCATAGACCAAGGAAATAGTCTTGTAAGTTCAAATAAACTATCTTCCTAAAAAGTCTTCATCAGCTCTCCTGTCCTGCTTTTACAGTAGAACCCCACATAGGCCCTAAGAGGAGAGAACAGCAGCAGAACAAAATCAAGAGAGAATAGGGTCGTTCCTTTTCAATGAAGAGAAGGTATGCACTTGCTAAGAGAAAAACAGAAATGGAAAAGGATTCAGAATGCACTGTCTTGGATCAAGTGTCTGTAGAAGATCCCTCTGATTCTAGGGTCCTTGGCTGACAAGCAATCTTTGAAATCAAAATAGCACTGTATATTATTCCTCTGTTTCATGTGGGAAACAGCCTCAAGATCATTCTGTGAGTTGTATACGCTGCAATCTAATAAATTCTTCTTCACAGTGGTGGGCCAGTCAGCTCCCTAGTTTTCTTGTAGTAATCAATGTTTTTTTTTGATTATCCTCTAAAGCATGAAAAAATGGAACGTAAAGCAAAATAAGAAGAAATCTTTCTTGGTACCTAGTTCCAGAGAGAACGTACCTTCAAAACCAAGCCATTGCCCATGCCAATTTTCTTTAGAAAAAAGTTTCAGGATAAAATTGTCAAATTTTTCAGGTCTCAGTCCTGAACCCCATACAGTTGGCTTCTGCACCAGATTCTCCCATTGATGGGCACATACATTTTGTTATCAGCCATGAAGCATCCAAGTTTTGGGTGTGCCACCCGGACATGATAATTTTGCAGCTGATGACTGCACCAATGATTTACTGCATTAGGTCATGGGACAGAAAAGAGGGTGAGAGGTTACCCTAGAGTTGGAGCTAATGCCACATGCTGGAATTCATCCGTGTATTCAGACCCCATGTAATACAGTGACTGGTAGCCTCCAAAGGAAGAAACAAAATTAAACCAACAGAAATTAAAAGAAATAACCACTCTTTCTTTTGGAAGAGGGGATAATTTTTTTGATTTTAACAAGTACGTCAAAAAACCTCGCATGCGTTGCATGCTTTTCCTTTGCTGGACTTCCAGGTGCTGTGCGTTTGCCACAGTGTGAAGGAAAATGGACCGGCCATCTGACACACCATATAAGGATTTTGGCTCTTTAAACTTTGAGCATGATGGCTGGATCACTTTTCTATTTGTAATACCAGCTTACTGAAAAGCATGGCAATCTTTCTCTTAAGAGACTTTATAGTTATGAGTTTTGATTCATATTTTACATCAACAACCTTGAAAGACCACCACAATAAAGCAGACAGAGGTTTTGGCTTTTTCTTGTCAGGTTTTTTCTGTCGCAATGCAGGCCACAGTTTCATGGCAGCCAAAGGTAACGTCATATTTGGCCTCACGTTCCTGAAAGTACCAGTGCTTGTATGGCCCTTCACTGACCTATTTTAGCACACAAATTCAACAGGAAACTATTTGCTTTTTTTGGCAGTTGGTTTTCTGACAGAGCAGTGCTGAGTGAATGGTTAGACGAGTGCTAGAGCCAGCACAGGGAAGGTGGCAAGAATCCAACGCTGGGACTAAGGGAAAAGACAGGACTACAACAGACAGCTGCCACATTGGCTTAGATTATGAATGGCCTATACCCTCAGTATGCTTTTGATTGAAAATTGTTGCTTGCTCCACCTTAGACCAGCCACACCGCAAGGAGAGCACCATCTAAATCAGGAGAGGAAAGGCCAAACAATCCAGTTGTCTATCCGGCAGCAGAAGTACCAATTAATTGGGTTTTTTTCCTTTTTGGTTTGCAGATTGCTCAGAAAGAGACTGAAGAACATTCAGGTTGGTTGTTCCTATAATTTTTCCACATATTTCTTCAGAGAATAATTTATGTGGTACAGACCATTAACTGAAATTAATAATTCATATGGAAGGGGTGAGCTCAACATGTCATGTTACTCTGTCGGTTCTTGGACTGGATTCTATAAGCACAATGCATCAGCACAGCGTGAAGAGCTGTCAATTTTACAATCAAATATAAAATTCATTGTAAGGGTATCTTCAAGCAGCCAAGCTTAATGATTTCTTTTTATGGGTATTTATGCAGTTAGATCTCAAGCATTTCAGCATTTCACAGCCAGTGAACACAAAACAGTTATGAATACAGTCAAATTGAGATTTACTTTTGAACTGGAGGAATGTTTACAGAAAACGTACTGTGGTCAGTACACTATGGTATTACACTGCTAGTGAAAGAAATAATCTGGAAAGTCAAAATATCAAGTATTTAGTGTCAACCACTGTATTCTTCTGAAGGAGTATGAAAAGAGGAAGAGTGTGGAATGGTAACAGAAATACACATCCGCTGCTTCTCCAAAGAAATGCCTGGAAAAGATTGAGTGGTTGTTTCTGCTTTGTAAATTTGTAATAAGAAGAAATATCATATATGAGCTAAGCACAAAGAGGCTAGTTAGCCTAACTAGAACTAACACAGTAACTCTCTGTAACAACTTGAAAAAGGTTTCTCTTTTGCACAGAATCTATTCTCTGCAATGAATGCTCGTAACAGCTAGCTAATTTTTCAAACTTAGGAAGCGTCACATCAATTTGGATCACCTGCAAGCAATCGAGTACCAATTTGACAAATTTAGGTGACTCAGTACTTCTGAGAGTTTGTGAGCCTATATGCAAGCAAGAGTGCAAATTGCTCTTTCCAGCCATAACATTATCTACATTTATGCCTTTGGAAGTACATTCACAATTCATTTGTACCTCTCAGAAAACAAATTGTGCTTATAAAATTCAAAGAATCTCCTCAGCAGAACCTTGAAAGTGTTTTTCAAATCAGAAAGATAATTTGATTTCAGTGTTCTTTAGTGTATGTTTTTGTTCTTAACTAAATGTGAGAATTTTTAAAAAGTAAACAAAATGTTTTAGCAGCTTAAGGAATCATTGACAACAGGTATTCCTTACTATGTCAAAATCATTCTCCAGAACACAATTCGTATTTTCTTTAGTGCTTATTTCTTCTGTGGCATACTAAACATATTCAACTACTACTGTTGCAATAAAAGCAGTAAGTTTGCAGA